ATGGGTCAATGGAGGAATGCTGGAAATTACACTATGGAATGGAGAAAACGATAACTATCATATTGGGATACGGGAAGGTTGGAGTTACTTCTCCAACACCAGCCCTTCAAGCATGGAGCAGGCCAACTTACATGAAGGTGCTGTCCCGGGTGATGGAGCCATCTGGCCCAGTCTGGACATCAATGCCAGAGATCAGCTGGTTCTCATAGATCAGTTTGTCCCCAATCACCTGGCAGGAGTTGATCTTGGGGGACTAACCCACCCTATGTCTCAACTCCTGCCAGGTGACTGGGGACAAACTGATCTATGAGAACCAGCTGATCTCTGGCATTGATGTCCAGACTGGGCCAGATGGCTCCATCACCCGGGACAGCACCTTCATGTAAGTTGGCCTGCTCCATGCTTGAGGGGCTGGTGTTGGAGAAGTAACTCCAACCTTCCCGTATCCCAAGGGGATGGGAATAGGCTGCTTCACTGACTAGTAAGATACTGTGATTTCCTCCATTTCCCCATTTCAACAGCCTCTCCTGTCCAGAAGGTCTGCAAGATACTTGGGAAACTAAGCTCACTTCAGAAGGTGGCTGACCCTTTTCTGAAGTGCAATGCACCATCTACCTAACAGCATATAGAAACAACTGCTGTAATGGGCTCATCTAGGGAGGCAGACCAAAATTACCCTCTGTTCATGGCACTTCAAATGCCATGAATGAGATTTGACTACAAGTGAGCAGGTGCTTCTCTCCCATCTGAGACTGCCCCCATGTGGCCATGCTCAGGCACTCCTGCTTAGTCCCTGAGTTGTAGGGAAGGACATCTGAGTTGCTGGAAGGGTTGATGCACTGACATCCTTGGATGCCTCCCATCCAAGTACTGATAGGGCCTGACCCTGCTTGTCTGAAGTTCTAATAAAGTGACTGCCAGAAGCCGTATTAGCTCAATCTGAATTCATTGAGCATCAGCCTGAACACCCCCCCCCCATCTCCTCCCTCTGCTCTCTCCTGTGCAGCTTCCATGCTCGCTGCATCTACAATGCCAGTGACTTCCTGCCAGTCTAAGTGGAGGTCTTCTTGCCCCCCACACCTGCTCCAGTCACCCAGGCAGGACCCCTTTGGCTTGAGCTGCGCATTGCCACAGGTAGGCAGCCCCTTTGACTCCAGCATAGAAATCCCATCTCCTGAAGGGATATAGGCATCTCAGCTCTGCTCTCCTCCTGCCTTCTCCCCACACAGACCTGAGCTACAGATCCTATCTCACGGAGAGAGACTACCCTGTGGTGAAGGTACTCAAGGACCCTATCTACATGGAGGTTCGCATCCTGCAGAGAACCGACCCTAACCTGGTTCTGTCTCTCCACCACTGCTGGGCTACCCCAAGCGCAACGCCCCTGGAGCAGCCACAGTGGCCCATCCTAGTCGACGGGTGAGTGAGGTGCAGGCATCCATATTAGTGGAGGAAAGAATAATGCTTGGTCAAAATTGAACAGTGTCCCTTTGCTCTCAGGTGCCCATTCTTGGGAGACAACTACAGAACCCAGCTTGTGCCCATAGGCTCTGAGTTGCCCTTCCCAACTCACCACCAGCGCTTTGTTCTCTCCACCTTTGCCTTTGTGGACTCAGACTCCCAGATAGCACTTGATGGAGAGGTAAGGATGACCTGAATCTACTCAGGGGTGGGAAGGGTCCTTTCCTGGTCAGGCAGGGACCTGCATCCTCTGCTCTTTACAAGAGGAGCGTAATGTCCCCACCTTTTGTGAAGCTTGCCTCCTAGATGAGGCCATGGCCAAGTGGGAGGGTGTAGCTTTAAAAACCTCTTCTTCCTCCTCTCTTTCCCCCCCCCCCAGCATCAAGCTGGAGCAATTGGTTCCCTTGATCTCACTGGCCTATGATGCTCCTAATTTAACACCTTGCTTGAGTCTGGCACTTACAGCCATTACTCCCAAAATGGGCACAGCGTCATGATAGCTGCTTTAGGAACACAGTCCCTTGAACTACATGTGATCCAGGTTGTATATGAACAGTGACCAGCTGGGAGTCTCTGCATCTCAGATGTTTAATGTCCTAGCTCCAGCTGGCTAGTGGATAATGCTCCCCAGGATTTCTCTCACGTTACCAGCATCAGGTGTCAAAAGCCTCCATGGCATTGCTATACCTCCAAGATGCCTGTCTAGGTGCCACTTAGGGAACTGGGGCAAAATCAGTACTTGGTCCTGCTAGTGAAGGGAAGGGGCTGTACTCCATGACCTTTCAGGGGGGGAGAAGGGTGTACATGCACACATATTGGCCTGCTAAACCCAGGGTTGTGAGTTCAATCCTTGAGGGGGGCCATTTAGGGAACTGGGGTAAAAATCTGTCTGACAATTGGTCCTGCTTGAAGCAGGGGGTTGGACTAGATGACCTACTGAGGTCCCTTCCAACCCTGAAATTCTATGATTCTATAACCTGGGTTCTCATGGGGCTTAGTCCAACAGCACCTCCTTGTTAAGTAATGTACTGGGGCTGGTACTGCCCTCTGCTGGATGGAATCTGTTCTGGTAAGCATCTTTCCAATGACCAGAGTCCAGCAAAGAAGATAAGCCCTACTGCAACTAAATGTGTCCTCTATTTAGGCCACATGATAGCAGCTAGTTGTTCTGGAGCTGAAGGGCCTAAATTCCCTCCCTTGGTGCTGCCTATGTGCAGGGAAGCTTGTCGCAATAGAGTTGCTACCTGCTGGGTCGGAGCTACTCTAACTCAATTTCCATTTGTGTGGATTTCAGGTGTACCTCTTCTGTAGTGCCTCTGCCTGCCGTCCCTCCCGGCTGGAGCTCTGCAGGACCATGTGCCCATCAGGGGCTGCTATAAGTAAGTCTCTGAGGTCTTGCCACTGGTACACAGTGGAAGCTAAACATCCATGTGGGTTTGAGAGCACCCAGCCCCACTGCTTCAAACAAATATTTGAGGATATCCTGGGGCATAACAGCTAGAACTCTAACTGCAGTGACTATATAATGGAACAATGTGAACTCAGCTGGATCCCCTACATGTGACATGCCAAACTAGCTAGGTGCATTGTGAATTTGGAAGCAAGTACCTGGGCTAGATGGTACTATGGTCTACTCTGTAACTGCACCCTTGCTATGTAGGAACTGAAATGGGCCACTGGGATCCCCAGAACAGATTTCTAATATGGGCTATTCCTGCTAAAATTGCCTCTTCCCACCTAATCCAAACCCCCAATGACCAACTCAGGAGGACATACTGAGCAGAAGCCACTTATCTGGGCAGATGGGTCTACATTGGCCTCTTCCTCATCAAATACTGCACTCTCCACCTAACCTTAGACAGCACTGGAGAGCTCTCTGAAGACCACTCCTTAACTCTCTCCTTTCCATCTTCCAGGAGGTCGCCGGTTTCTGCATATTGGAAATGGGACAAGAGAGCCCCAGGACTTAGTGAGTTCTCGCGGACCTGTGATCTTCCAGGCGAGTCCTGGGCCACGCAGAGAGCAAGTCTATGAGAACACAGGTGAGTTGTCCTGCCATTATGGTTAACTGGTCTCTTGTGTAGTAGCCTGAGACCTGCAAGTCAATGTTGCCTCTAATGTGGGTATTACTCCATGTGTGCTAAATGGAAATGGTAGGGACGGTTTTGTGGCCTGCAGCATGCAGGGGGTCAGACCAGATGATCATAATGGTCCCTTCTGACCTTAAAGTCTATGAGTCTATGTTCCTGGGACCCCACATGGATGAGCAAGAAGTGATCATCTTTATATATAAGCTTATGTTGATTTGCCATAGTATGACTCCCAGGAGTAGAAGAACACTTCCTCCTGCTGTGGTGAGGGACAACCAACCTAGCCTTCAAAGCAAGGCAGACCCCAGTGGGGCATAGAATCATAGAATATCAGGGTTGGAAGGGACCTCAGGAGGTCATCTAGTCCAAGCCCCTGCTCAAAGTAGGACCAATCCCCAACTAAATCATCCCAGCCAGGGCTTTGTCAAGCCTGACCTTAAACTCTTAAGGAAGGAGATTCCACCACCTCCCTAGGTAACCCATTCCAGTGCTTCACCACCCTCCTAGTGAAAGGTGTTTTTTTGTTTGTTTTGTTTTTTTTTCCCCTAATATCCAACCTAAACCTCCCCCACTGAAACTTGAGACCATTACTCCTTGAATAACCCCTTGATGGTGACTTGCAAGCAAGGGAGACTGTGCCTACAATCAGGGCTGGTGCAACCCATTAGGCGACCTAGGCAGTCGCTTAGGGCACTACAATTTGGGGGGGCATGGCAACCACGGTGGTATTTTGGCAGCAGGACCTTCCGCTGCCTCTGTGGGGGGGCAGCATTTCGGGGTGGGACCTTCTGCAGCCTAGGGCGGCAGAAAAGCTGGTGGCGCTCCTGCCTACAATGCACTGGGCTGGTATCAGCACTGACCTCTGCTGGATGGAATTTATCCCCAGGAACTTTCTTTATTGACTGACTGGAGCCTGCAAAGAATAGACCTCTCCCCTGCTAGGAAGAGATGGGTGGTGACTTAATGCAGATGCTTGCCTGGTACACTGAGTTAATCAGGTGTAACCTCAAATGGATGTAGTGAAGGCCAACCCACTATTAATGGGTAGTAACAGCATCACTGGGGAAAGGGTGCCTAGTCTTATCTGCATTTGCACATGCACACACCCAGTATTGCCTTAACACCCTCTTTTCCTCCTCCCACAGACCCTGTCTCCAGACTGGACCTGACTCCTGTGCTTCTGGCTGTACTCTCTCTGGTGGCTCTGGCCTCCCTCATTGTTGTGACCCTGCTCTGCAGGAGAAAGGACTGGATGACCAGATCCTAAAGACTCCATAGTGGCTCGCTGTCAAACAAGGGTGGAAAATAAAAACAGCTGAACTGCACTAGTGGCTTGTGGTGCACTTTGTCTGGAGGGAGGCTGGAGCCAGCAGCTGCTTTGTGGACTCTGCCTCCCAGGTGGTGCCTGATGGACTGGTAAGGAAATCTAACTAGGCAAGTAATTCCTACCATGCTGCAGACTGGGATTGATTCCTCCTGAGCAGCCCTGGCTCTAGGCATTATCTACTCTGCTGGAACTTGTTTGTGGGGTGGCAGAGGGTAGGTGTTGGGATGGAACAACTTCCTCTTCTATCAGGGGGAGTCCTGGGGTCTCCCTGCAGGTGGGAAGGTAAACTAGCTACCTGAGTCTGTTTCTTCCTCTACACACCCCTGCTGCATGCTCTAGTGTGGCACCTGGCTGTTGGATGCCCAGCAGATGGCTAACCTGAGTAAGAGTCTCCTTGTGCCCTCTCAGTGCAGCATGGCTTCTCTTTTGTCACCACTCAGGCTGGTTCCTCTAAATAGAAACATTCTGGGTAACACTCTGGCCTCTATTGGAGTAGATCTGGTATCCACTAGCGTACTTGTTCCATCCTATAGTGTCTGGAGGTCCATGGGAAGGATCTCCTAAACCCTGATAACCACAGTAATGGAAACTCCTCAAGCTCAGTGCTAGGGGTCTGTCTAACCTAGGACTGTTATCTGTAGGGTAAACTCTCCTTATCTCCTTCTCCAACCATGCTACACAGGAGGCTTCCCCTAGAAAGTAGGACCTCACTGCAGCTGGCTCAGTGCATTGGGCAGCCCTGGCCAGATCTAACTAGCTCCTAACTTGTGGGTTTCAGGGGTACATTTTCTGTAGTGCATCTGCCTGTCACCCCTCTCAGTTGGAAATCTGCAGGACCACTTGTCCACCAGGGGCTGCCACAAGTAAGTCTGATCTTATTTTATCTGTAGAGCAGGCAGGATGTGAGGCACTATTTTACTAGCACCAGATCACTCAATCTCTGTGGACCTAAATACTAGAAGAGGGCACATTCTACATACCATATGAAGATCTCCTAACACAAGCATAGCCTTACTTCTCCTCAGCAGAAGACCTGCATGTCAGCCATTTCTGTATAACCTTCAAAATACAGTGCACCTGGCTACATGCATTGTGGGCTACCTTGCCTGTGTCAAAGGCATCTGGTAAAAGTCACCACTGGAGCCAGGCTGCCATCCAAATAAAATAGCCTTGCATGACAACTCTGCCAAGATAGCACAATGCCTGGATCTGAAAAGGGGTCGAGCATACTGGTGCTCTTCTCTCCTCCATACATCCAGGGTCACTCACATGAGGACCCATGGATTCTATTTCCACTCCTTACTGGGATAGCAGTTGGCATTCTGTGACTGGGCCCTAAGTGGGGGGTTCTGCCCCATTTGCTGGATGCTCTTTTCTCATTTCTCTGGAAGCCCTGGTGAACAATGCAAGGCCCTCTCCAACACTCTCTCGAAGTCACTGGTTCCTCAGGATCCAAAGTGGAACAGAACCCTTGGACTTGGTGAGTGCTTGTGGGTGAAGTTATCTCAGCAACCAGCCAGGCAAGATGGCAAAGACAAAGGTGAGTTAACACTAGTTAATGGTGTCCTGCTGGCATGGTAACCCTGAGTAACTGAGGGAGCCTGAAAGCTGGTGGCACTAGGCCAGACAGCTTCTTGGAGGGTGGCTAATCTCAGGTGCATTATAGCTTCTGAGCTCCAAGTTGCTGTACCCAGGAGTGGGTGGTTAGGATGAAGTTCATTATTCCAAGGGGTATCTAACTTGCTTTTTGACAGGGGTGGAGAGAATTGGGATGAAGGGACTCATACAGTGTCCCTGTAAAGCAGAGAGACAATCCTAACTCTCCCAACTAGGATCTCAAATGGGAGTAATGACTTCCCATTATATGGCAGGGGGCACCAGGGATCCTTCTACCCCCTGCAAGTCTGTGTTTGTCTCTCCTCCCCCCCCCCACCCCCGATCCTGGCTCCAGAGAGGACCTGAACCCTATGCTTCTGCACACTGTGTTCCTGGCACTTCTCACTTATCATTGTGGCCTTAGTTACTGTTAGTGTGAGTTTGACCTGGAAGAGATGGAGTCAACTGAGAAGGCTCTGAAACTTTTTTGTAGTGGAGTTGTGAAATAAGACAAAACACATTGCATCTCGCTTGTGGGGGTATATTGTGGGTGGGAGTGCTCCCTACAGTGCTCTGACCTAGCAAAGGTCATGGTGGGTAGTCTGCAGCATTGCTCATTTTCCTGGGTGTCACAACTTCCTATGGTTGTGCTAAGGTAGCTAGCAATACTGTCCATGCCAAGGCTAGGTTGCAAATGTGGGGAGGAAACTGGAGATGGTAGGAAGAGCCACTTTCCATTCCCAGCTCCAATGAGGAACTTCAGAACAGCCTTTCTCCAGGACAAGAGGTGTTTTTGTCTTTTTTTGGGGGGGGGGGGAGACTTTGGACCCCATCCCCCCCAGTCACCTTATTCTCCATGGTCTGCCTCAAATGAACTAGAACTCTAACTCTGTTTTCCAACTCAAGGGGCTTAGAAGGAACTAATGGCTGATGCTACAGCATTCCTCTGTCTTCATCTCAAGCCTAGATGAACTTCTTTCTCGAGGTTAGACTTTAGTGAAGCAAGTTATTGGGCTCCATACAGACAAATACTTGCAGGCTATTTTTGTGGATTGGATGCAGATAAAAATTTTGTATGCACACAGGGCTTTACAGCTAGAGGTAACTAGGTGACATTTAATGGCCTCTGACACACAGGAGGTCAGACTAGCTGATCCAAGGGTCCCTTCTGGCCTTCAAGTCTATGTATGCTAGAACTACTAGAGCTGTGCAATAATGGGTTTTATAGAGGATAGTGAGTGCACTCCCCAGAGCAGAAACCGCTAGTCAAGGTTGTAGGGAAACAAACATCGAAGAAATGGAGAGGGCTCAATTTTCCACTCACTCTACCCACAACCGTGCTGCTAATTCAACTCTTCCACCAGGCTGCCATAGAGGCTGGTAAAACATTAGCACCAGGGAACCGTTAGTGGCTAACAGTTAGCTCTGATGTAGCAACACTACCCTCTACAGTTGGGGCACCATATCTGAAAACAGCCACCTCAGTGCAAGTATTACACAGATCTGTGGTTAATCAATGAACAGGTCAGATGCCCTCATCTGTCCAAGAAAGAAGTCTGTGAGAAATGCTCTTAACATGGGGTCAGCCTTGTTCTACCAACTTTCCTGCAGACCTATTGTGAAAACTGAGCAGAGGGTGTGCCTGTAAACAACTATGCCTTGCTTTGCACTTGAGGATAACTAGGTGTTCATGGGAGCAGGGCAGGGTTTATGATGTCCTCCTAAACAAAGGAACAGAGCACAGGGCAGGAGGCAGTTCCGGTGGATGTGTGAGGTAGGGTGTTTGTCACAGAACAACGAGGCTGGGGTTTTGAAAAACAACCTACCAATTCTGGAGGACTTAAAAAAAAAAAAAAAGGCATGAAGAGCTTTCCTGGCAAAGTTAGAGAGATGGAGTCCTGTGGTTAAGTCAGGCCTGGTCTACACTACGAGTTTAGGTCGAATTTAGTAGTGTTAAATCGAATAAAGCCTGTACATGGCCACCCAACAAAGTCCTTTTTTTTTTTTTGTGACTTAAAGGCCCTTTAAACCGGTTTTTTTACTCCACCTCCGACGAGGGGATTAGCGCTAAAATTGGCCTTTCCAGGTCGGATTTGGGGTAGTGTGGACGGAATTCGACAGTATTGGCCTCTGGGAATTATCCCAGAGTGCTTCAGTGTGACCGCTCTGGACAGCACTCTCAATGCAGATGCACTGACCAGGTAGACAGGAAAAGCCCTGTGAACTTTTGAATTTCATTTCCTGTTTCTCCAGCATGGAGAGTACAGGTGACCACGCAGAGCTCATTAGCACAGGTAACCATGATGGAGTCCCAGGATCGCAAAAGAGCTCCAGAATGGACTGAACGGGAGGTAGGGGATCTGCTCGCCATATGGGGAGACGAATCAGTGCTAGCTAAACTCCGTAGCAGTAAACGAAATGGCAAAGTATTAGAAAAAGTCTCAAAGGCCATGAAGGACAGAGGCCATAACAGGGATGCACAGCAGTGCCGCATGAAAATCAAGGAGCTAAGGCGAGCTTACCACAAAGCCAGAGAGGCAAACGGAAGGTCCGGGGCAGAGCCGCAGACATGACGCTTCTACGTGGAGCTGTATGCCATGCTAGGGGGTGCAGCCACCACTACCCCAACTCTGTGCTTTGACTCCATCAATGGAGAATCACGCAACAGGGAAGCGGGGTCGGGGTACGAGGAAGATAGCTCACAGCAAGGAAGTGGAGAAACTGGTTTCCTGAACAGCCAGGATATGTTTATCACCCTGGACCTGGAACCAGTAACCCCCGAACTCACCCAAGGCCTTCAATAAGAGTTAAAGTTTTAAACTGCAGTGTGTCCTTCACTCCTCCCCCACCCCTCCAGGGCTACCTTGGCAGTTATTCCCCTAGTTGTGTGATGAATTAATAAAGAATGCATGAATGTGAAGTAACAATGACTTTATTGCCTCTGCAAGTGGTGCTCGAAGGGGAGTGGGGAGGGTGGTTAGCTTACAGGGAAGTAGAGTGAACAGGGGAGGGGATCATCAAGGAGAAACAAACAGAAGTCACAAAACTGGTTTTCAAAGCTTCTCTGATGTGCACCACGCCCTGCTGTACTCTTCTAACTGCCCTGGTCTCTGGCTGTGCGTAATCAATGGCCAGGCGATTTGCCTCAACCTCCCACCCTGCTATAAATGTCTCCCCCTTACTCTCACAGATATTGTGGAGCGCACAGCAAGCAGCAATAACAATTGGAATATTGGTTTCGCTGAGATCTATCTGAGTCAGTAAACTGCGCCAGCGCACTTTTAAACGTCCAAAAGCATGTTCTACCACCATTCTGCACTTGCTCACCCTATAGTTTAACAGGTCCTGACTACTGTCCAGGCTGCCTGTGTATGGCTTCATGAGCCATGGCA